CCCCCCTCCATGTTACTGTCCTCAGCCCCCCATTTCTGTCCTCAGCCCCCCATTACTGTCCTCAGCCCCCCCATGTTACTGTCCTCAGACCTCCTCTATGTTACTGTCCTCAGCCCCCACACATTACTGTCCTCAGCCCCCATGTTACAGTTATCAGCCCCTCCCACTTTAATGTCCTTGGCCCCCACAAACCACAGTCCTTAGCCCCCCACATTACTGTCCTCAGCTCCCCCACATTCAGCCCTCGCCCCCCCCTTCACACTGATGTCCTTAGCCCCTTTAACTTTGCCCCCCCCCCCCACTGTCCTACCTTACATAGACAGTGATTGACAGACAGTGATTGATTGCTAGGACTGCCCTTCATCCTAGCAACCAATCACCTGCTTGATAACCTTGGGCAGCTCCCACCCTCCATCCAGAACTGTCCTGTCTTCCGCTGTCACCCTCTGTGAGGATGACCGTGAGACAGCTGGGGGAAGAAAAGGCTCTTAAATGGCAGGACTGCATGGGTCCAGATGGGACAGTGACTCCGTCCGCATCCAGACCCCAGTCCACCATATAGTGATGCCTGCAATAGACCATCATGTCAAAGCTACAAATAATGTTTGCTGAAAACTATTTAAGTGCAATACTATATGGTCTACTCTACTCATAAATTGCTGTATGAATGTTACAGAAATCTCACAGAAGTTATGAATAATTCCCCAAATGTGTCTAATATGTTTATTTCCTATGATCATCAGCTCCATCTAGTGTCCGTAATGAAGTATTCTCCTGATTGAGGTATTCTAGGAAAATATCACGTTATGGCCACTAGCTGGAAACAGACAATCATAGCAGATGAACATAAACACATGGGAGTTATTCACGATGGCTGTGCAAATTCTGTGGAATTCCTACAGCACTTTTTTTTATAAATAGACCCCTAAGTGCACAAACTACTTTGGCCCTCACAAAGTAACATAAATTTACATTTATTAAAATGAGATAAACATATTTTCAGTTAAGCATTTTTGTTGATTGAGCTTGAAACCATCTGTTTATCTGTTTTCTTTATCCAATCTTATCCATGTGTTTCACACTTCACAAGTGAACGTATGGTGACAGTAAACTTGTTTATGAATCATTACTGCAGCCTGCTTGATTACTAGGTTACAGTATATAAGTATTTTGTTTGCCATCAACAGCTAGAGTTGTTTTAAAAATGATATATACCTCCATAATCTGGGCATCTAGATCTTCAGCAGCTAGGTTCACGTAGATCTGTGTACAAATTTGAACTCTGCAGATATCAAAGAATAAGCAGCTGCAGGGGAGCAAACATATGAGTCTAATTTCTTAGGGAAGTGACAGACCTGTTTAAAGTGGAGTTCCACTCACTCTGTAAAAAAATAAAAGTCAGCAACTACAAAAACTGTAACTGCTGACTTTTAAAAAACAGCCACTCACCTGTCCCTCAATCCTGTGGTGTGTCCCCCGCAGCCCGTTTCACCGGCCGTCCTGTATTCCAGGAGGCCGGCATCTTCAGTGTGGGCACCCGGCTGTGATAGCTTGCGGCTTCACAGCCGGGTGCCCACTGCGCATGCGCGCAAGTAGGGCTGCGCTTCCTGAATGGCCCCGTCGTCTTCTGGGACCTGTCACGTGCCCCACAAGACTTCAGGGAGGGAGGGTAAGAGGACAGCTTCGCCTAGGCGATCACAGCGGAAGTGGGAGCGGGAACCTGTCAAATTTGGGTACCCACTCCCCAAAGGAGCCAATCCTTAATGGGGAGCAGGGGACCAATCTTTAAAGTGGAACTTCCCCTTTTGGGTGGAACTCCGCTTTAAGGAAATCTGTCAGGTTAGGAAAATATAAGCTGATACTAGACATGTACATTTTGCTTTGTTCTTATCTGATTTTTGGATGAAAATTTGATTTTCGGAGACTCAGATGTATATGAATCTCCGAATGGACATAGTAATGAATGTCAACAAATCAAAAAAAAAAAAATTTATAATAAATTCTCTAATGCATTCATTTCTTTTGTTTCAATCGAATGACATCATATGATGTGATAGTAGTTTGGGCCTAATAAAAAATAAATTAAATTTTTGCACTCGTTCGATAATTCAGATTCAAGTAAATTTGTTATTTAAATTGAATTTGTCATTCAGTCAGTCAGTTCAATTTCATAGTCTAATGCAATTCTTAGGTTTGAAATATTTGGGGCTACCTAATTTTGTATTATTTATTCCATTGTGTCCGATATACAGTATATATTTGTAAAAACCTTTTGAATGGTTTTGAGACATCGAATCCCAAAGCTTATATATATCTTCTGCAAAAAAAAATGCTAAATTTTGGGAATCCAACGAACATACCAACAAATATACAAAACGAATGTTGAAAATGAATCAGTTCAACATAACGAATATGACAAATTAAATTCTTCAATGAATGAATGCATCCAAAATGAAACAAAAAATTCCGACTTGCACATGTCTAGCTGATACCATGAACCTTTTAAATATTCTGCTTTGGGACTTTGTTCGTATACTTGCTTTAATCTCTATAAGACTCTGATCCTGATCAGGAATGTAGCCAGTGAATGTGAAAGAGAAACAATGGGTATACAAGCGCTGGGTAACATAGAGTAGATATATAAAGTCAGCCGCCAGCAGAAAAGAAGGAAATACCTGAATCCTCCAATGTAATACACAATAATCAACAAAAATGCAGCGCTTGATATTGCAAATAAAAATGACATAGATGAAAGGATGAGTAAAAGTCTTAAAGAGTGCAACGTGGCAATTGTGGTTCCTTAGATGGCTGTTAAATTATCGTGACTTCCGTGGTTCGTGAGAAGTGAGTATGAATGTGAAAGCTCCGCCTCCCAATCTGAATACTTGTTCCAGGTCAGTAGCTTACAAAACCCAATGGTAAGCATGACAGCCCAGTTCCTAGCAATTTCAGAAGATCAGCAATTGCAGACATTATTTCTTTCTTGTCCATTGAGGGACACATAAACTAGGTTATACTGCTGTCTTTAGGTCAGGGGTGTCAAACTGGTGGCCCTCCAACTGTTGCGAAACTACAAGTCCCATCATACCTCTTCCTTTGGCAGTCATGCTTGTAACTGTCAATCTTGCAATGCCTCATGGGACTTGTAGTTTGGCAACAGCTGGAGGCTGTCAATCTTGTAGTGCCTCATGGGACTTGTAGTTTGACACCCGTGCTTTAGGTGGTTGGAACAGAAAAATTGTAAGCTAGCTCACATACTGTATAGCTCCTCCTATGCCCAGCATGCTTCAGTTTTTGCTATTGTCCCATGACCTTGGTCACCTTTTCTTGAGCTCTGCTGAAAAAAATACTGATTTTTCAAACCTTCCTTTCTCTATGGAAAATCTTCCTCCTCAATCAAGATTTAATCAAAAGCGATCTCTCCACCACTGTTGCTCCAGCATTTTGTCACATTTCCAGACACAGACAAAGTAGCCTTGAAAACAGCTAATCAAGCACGTTCTTCAGGTATTTTTGCCAGCATGTCCTTAAAATTATTTAGTAGTCTGATGTTTTGACATTGTTACCTAATGCTGTAACACCATTCTGTTGTGGCATTGCCTTTATGGTGGATCTTAGAGGGCTTTTTGATACACAGCCTTATTGGAAGTATATCTATAAACAATTAGCAGGACCTGATGTCATTTTATATACGTAATTACCATCTGCCTAGAAAGGCTTCAGAAGACTCTACGGAGGTGCACAGCTTCCCAGTATACTTACCCGAGGTCTGATGACATTTTCTCCTGAGAATAAAAATGTAGATAAGCCTTTTTAACTTGTGTTCATTTATTAATGTATTCCTTGTTAAGTGATAGAATATTCAGTTTGCCTGTAGTGTTCATATCATCTAATAGCACTATGATGACAACCCAACTTGCTGAGAGATTTCTAACCTACAGCACAATGATTCTGTATTTATAATGCTCAGCGATGAAATTGATCAGCATATTTTTTAAAACATACTCTGTACCCACAATGTGCTACCACACTTAGCTCTTATTAAAGCCTGCATGGTTATTAGACAGCTTAGCACAGTGGTTTAGTGCTTAGCACTTCTGCCTTGCAGCACTAGGGTCCTCAAATCCCAGCTAGGACTCTATTTGCATGGAGTATGCATGTTCTCCCTGTTGTTTCTTCCATGTTCTCCCATTGGTTTCCTCTGGGTACTCCAGTTTCCTCCCATACTCCAAAGACATGCTGGTCGGTTTTTTGGTTCAATTGAGTGAGCCCAAGATCGGTACCTCACACTCGAGTCCCTAGGAAAAAAAGTACTATAAAAATGCTTTCACAGCATACTGACTACTCTATTAAAGGAGAAGTAGGGTCAAGGCTCTTTTGTCCCTACTTTTCGTATGGATCACAGGAGTGCACTTAGTTCTGCACTCCTGTGACCCACTCCTGTTACCCACTGTCGGCTGACGTCACAAAGCTGGTCCAGGCTCTGCCAGGATCTCGACCATATTGTCGGGATCCACCCAAATGCCTGACCAGCAGCTGGCTCAGCCTCTCAGCACTACTCTATTAAAGGAGAAGTAGGGTCAAGGCTCTTTCATCCTTACTTTTCATATGGATCACAGGAGTGCACTTAGTTCTGCACTCCTGTGACCAACTGTCGGCTGACGTCACAAAGCTGGTCCAGGCTCTGCCAGGATCCCGACCTTATTGTCGAGATCCACCCATATGCCTGACCAGCAGCTGACTCAGCCTCTAAGCATGCTGCTGAAAGCCTGAGACAGCCTGTCCTGCCCTCTCCACATCCCAAGACTATAGTGAACAGTGGCGGTGTAGAGCAGAGAACACTTGACTGACAGTCAGCTCTCTGCAGACTGAAGACCAAGAATTGAGTGATCAGCGGTCTTTGATCGCTCAGTTTTCTGTCTTAGAGGCAGTGGGGGACAGATGCAGCATTTGCCTAGATGAGTATGGATGCTTACTTTTATTAATTCCAAAGTTCTTTGAACCACTTCCCGTCCAGCCCATGTACATAAACGGCCGGACAGAAGTAGTGCATGAGCGGGTTGCCATAAACAGCGCCCACATTTGCAGTCTGTGCGCGCTCCCTGGGAGCACGCGCATGCGGCACCGCGATCAGGTGCCTGCTGTGTCCTCTGGACACAGCAGAGCACCAATCGCTTTACTGGACCTCTGTGTGAGGTCCCGATCATGTGATCACTGATTGGCCAATCAGTGGTCACATGACTAGTAGTAAGCAAGATGTCACTTGCTGACATCATTACTTACTACTAATGAAATCTGTGAATGATCACAGAGGTCACATGCTACAAGGCTATTCACAACAGCCTTGTACCATGTGACAAGCTGTGACCAATCACAGCTCTCACAGTATTTCTCAATGGCTGCAAGAATGATTGCTTTTACAGCCTTTATGTGTGTAAAAGCAATCAGTGTAAATAAGAAAAAAAAAAATCTTCATCACCCCCCACAAGTAGTACAGTGTCACCATGGCGACACTGTACTGCTAGTGTGACAGTATGTTAAAAAAAAACCACATAAATAATAAAATAAAAAATAAAATAAAAATGTAAAATAAAATTTAGAAAAATTATAATTTTTGGTTATAAACTAATTTGGGTTATTTTTTTTTTTACTAAAAAGATAACTGAATACATTTTGGCCAAGATTTATGAAGAAAGATTATCTATTTGCAAAATTTTATAAGAAAAACACTTTTTTTTAAAAATGTTTTGGACTTTTTCATTTATATAGAAAAAAAATAAAAATCCCAGTGGTGAATAAATACCACCAAAATAAAGTTTCATCTGTCTCAAAAAAAAATGCTAAAAAATTCATATGGGTACAGTGTTGCATGACCGCGCAATTGTCATTCAAAGTGTGATAGCACTGAAAACTGAAAATTGGCCTGGACTAGACGGGGGTAAAAGTGTCCGGACTTGAAGTGGTTAATGTACCTGATTTCACTAATATGGTGAGCAGAGGTTCCTGCATGGCAGTGGGCTGATGCAGGTCCTCAAGTTAGCGGACAGAAAATGACACTATTTTGTGTCCTCTGTTGCGTGGCTTGTGCAGAATTGCACTGTGAAAACTAAAAAGGCCTGTCATCACAGAAAGTGTCAAAGCTGCAGGATGTCGTGGGCATGTAGCTTGTAAGCACCAAAAACTCCCTTCCCCACATAATCAAATCGCTTGAACATCTACAACTCATTACCTAGTCCTTCTCACCACCCACAATACCATAATTGGTCCTTGAGGCACTCTAATTGCTAGGTATAGAGTTTACTAATTTATCCCCCCACGCTTTATATAGCCTGCCTATAAGTGTATGTCCAGCCAAAGCTTTTTCTTTCTTAGGGCTCATGTACACGGGGCATTTGGAAAACGCTTCTGAACGATGGAAACTGACTGCTGGAAAACGTAGGTTAAAAAAACGTCAATTTAGCTGTGTTTGCATACCACGTTTATGCGCATTTATGTGCATTTGTTTTAGAAGCGTTTTTCAAAGATAACCTCAGGAGACCTTCCCAAATGCCCAGAATGCACTGAAAAATAGTAAAAAATTAACTATTTCAGACATTTTGAGAGGAATAGAGAGAGCAGAAGCAGAGAGAGAAGTATGTGTTGAGATTACCTATCTTTTCTGGTTGTATTCACTATGGATCCCATCATGAGCATAACGTGGCACATTCTACCATTTTTTCCTTCACGCGAAAACCTGGAACTGACCGAGCTGGTGTACCGGGTCTATTTGAATACATGGAAAAGGCTTTGCATGCATTTCTGATGATGAAAAAAGGCTCTGGACATGAAACAGTTAAAAACCGCTTCTAAATGCAAACGCTGATAAACACGATTAACCGCGTTTACAAGCGTTTGGCGTTTGAAACGCCGGGAAAATCTACTCCTGAACTCAAGTTTGGTGCGTTCAAATAAACGACTGTAAACTCAACTGCCTGTAATGGACTGTAAACAATGATGTGTACATGGACACATAGGAAAACATTAGGGTGAGTTGAAAAAAAAAAACGCAGAAAAGCTCCTGAACGTCAGTTTATCAGCTGCAGTGTACATGAGCCCTTAGTTTTGGTTCGCATGGGGAAACGTTACACTCCTATCAGATCTATATTACTCTTTGGGGCTAGAGTAGGAGAAGGTTAGAGCCCCTGACAGATTTTCATTTCTATCTATTCCTTTTGCAGACTTTTCCTCACTTCCTGTCTGGTTAAACAGTTGTCAAAGGGACAGGAAGTGAAAGGAAATCTCTAAAAAAATCATAAAAATATAGGGATTAGTCAAAAGGCAGTATGCAAGCTCACTTCATTCCAGTGTTGTCCTAGTGGTCATGTAAACTTTTTATGTGTGACAAAGACAGCATTGGGGGAGATCTACTAAAGCTGGAGCACTCAGAATCTGGTGTAGCTTTGAGTGGTACCCAATCAGCTTTTAACTTCAACTTGTTTAATTAAGCTACAAAGTCAGAACCTGGGAGCTGATTGGTTTCTATGCAGAACTGCACCTGATGTTTCACTCTCCAGTTTTAGTAAACCCCCCCTAGAGGGGGGGGGGGGGGGGTGGGGGGGGGGGACATTGTCTTTTTATTAGGGCAATAGAGCAATGGTGAAAGGTGTTAATTTATATTTGTGTTTTTAATTTACAACTATAATAACAAGAAAAAGTAAAAAAAAGTCTTGATTAAAATTGACATTAACCACTTCCCGTTCGGCCCATGTAGATAAATGGTGGCAGTAGTGCCGAAGCAGGTTGCCATTTATATTCACTGCCTGTTCGGCACCACAGTCTGTGCCTGCTGTGTCCTCTGGACACAGCGGAACACTGATCGCTGTACGGGACCTCTGTGTGAAGTCCCAATTCATGTGATCCCTGATTGGCCAGTCAGTGATCACATGAACAGTAGTAAACTTCCTGACATCATTGCTTACTACTAGTGAAATCTATGAATGATCACAGAGGTCACATTAGCCTTGTACCATGTGACAAGCTGTGACCAATCACAGCTCTCAGTATTTCTCAATGGCTGCACGAATGCAGCCAGAGAGGAGAAATTATTGCTTTTTCAGCCTTTATGGGTGTAAATGCAATCAGTGTAAAAAGAGAAAAAAAAATCTTCATAACCCCCCACAAGTAGTACAGTGTCACTATGGTGTCACTGTACTGCTAGGCTGATGGTATGTTAAAAAAACAAGAAAAAAACAAATAATATAAAAAAAAATTTAAAAAATATTTTTTAAAAATGATCATTTTTGGTTATAAACTAATTTGGGTTATTTGTTTATTACTAAAAAGATAGCTGAATACATTTTGGGCAAGATTTCTGAAGAAAGATTATTTATTTGCAAAATTTTTTAACAAAAACACTTTTTTTTTTCAAAGTGTTTGGACATTTTCATTTATATAGAAAAAAAAAAATAAAAATCCCAGTGGTGAATAAATACCACCAAAATAAAGTTTTATCTGTCTCAAAAAAATGCTAAAAAATTAATATGGGTACAGTGTTGCATGACCGCGCAATTGTCTTTCAAAGTGTGATAGCACTGAAAGCTGAAAATTGGCCTGGACAGGAAGGGGGTGAAAGTGTCCGGAATTGAAGTGGTTAAAGAAAGTATTTAATAAAGTCATAGGGAATGATCTCTTGTATTAAAGTGGTTAATTACAGGCCACGTGGGTCTTTTTAAAGTGGTCTCTATTTGGCTCAGGGCATCTATGCCTTGAACTCTTTTTCAGTTTGAAGTAAAGGGAAATCTTTCTAATGGAGAAAAAAAACAAACAGGGGTTCTAATTCTTCCCAGCTGCATCTGAAATCAATTTTGTTTTTGGCTTTACATACGGTAAAAGCAGTATAGTTATTTTAAAAACAGTGTAAACTCTGAATTCCATTTAAGCAGTTCACAGCATAGTGTTTGTTTAACACTATAGTAAAGAAAACTGTATAAGGTGTTAACATTGTATAAAACAACAATGAGCAAAATCACTGCATTACATGATAAATGAAAACTTAAAAAACATTTGTATTGTAATGCACAACAGTCTGTAAAAGCCCTAACTTTTAGCAACCGGTTACGTTTTACCAGCTTAAGCTGGTCATACGTGGATACATTTTTTCTTGGTTCAGATTCCACAGAGATTCAATGATTCCTCCATACAGTGCAGACAGATGAATCTACAGTGCCGGCTTTTGAACTTCTGACAATCAATAGCCAGCTTTATAGAAAGTATATAGACTGTCACAAATCTGGTTTGTAATTGGGAATTTCATGTAGCCATACATCACTGCTGTTTGTACTTTTGGCCTCATATATGAGAAGGTCTTAAGGGATAAAATGTTTCAGAACAATGAAGGAATCGCTATGGATCAGCGCCGACAATTCTTCCCTTAGGCAGGCCATAGATGAATTAATTTTCTTTCCTTCAACCATGGGTGAAAGGAAAGAAAATCACTCGATTCTCCCATCAACACTGAATTCCTCCCACAGCACTACTGTGTTCTGCAGACTGGGGGGAGGGGAGAGCGGGGAGCCCTCCCTGCTGGCAGAACACAATGATTACTGCTAGCGGCTATACCCACAGGCAGTAATCGCATGGTAAAAGTCCAACAGGCTGTTTGGCTTTTACAGGCTAGGCACAGGCTGATTGTACCCAAGTCGATTAATGGACTGACTTGGGTACAATCAAGATGGTTGAAATCTCGGCCAGTCCCTGCTGAACTGTTTGAGATTCAATCCATCTACAGCTGGTTTTAGACCAGCCATCATTAACCAGAATTCTGTGGAACCAGAATATTCCTCCAGAGATTTCCAGGGGTTCCTTGAATAGCGGATAATTGATCTACTATCTGATCCTTGGGCAGCACCACCGGCATGACATCAGGGATTGTTTTAGCTGGCTGTAATGATTGCACTGATCCCCAATGAAATTTCAAATTACCTCCAATGGAAGAGTCACTCTACCTTTCACCAAATATAGCACCTCTCTCTCTCTCTCTGTCGGACCACAATGTAAAGGTGCTCCTCTCCTACAGACCACAAAATACGAAGGCACGTCTCCACTGACCACAGACCACCTGCATTTTTTTTCTGACCATTATTCTTTTTCATTTTAATTTTGTAAATGCTACAAATCATTTAATCATACGGAAAAGGAGGGTGTTAAAACATGTTCCATCTTGAGTTTT